ATATTGGGAAAAACTTCTTCCCCCAAAGGGCTGCCAGGCCCTGGCCCAGGCTGCCCAGGGCAGGGGCTGAGTCCCCATCCCTGGAGGGATTTAGAAGATGGGGAGATGTGGTGCCTGGGGATATGGTTTAGTTGTGGGCTTGGCAGTGCTGCATTAAGGGTTGGACTTGACGATCTTAAGAGTCTTTTTCCAACCTTAACGATTCTGTGATTCTAAGAAAAGCCTGCCTTTCATTCCATTGTGGCAGTGGTGGGGCAGGAGAGCTGAGGACAGAGAAGACTGGGAGGTGGACTTAGTGCAAGGTGGGAAAGAAGCAGCAGAGTGGCAGAGGGGCCCCAGCTGGGAGCCTGGAACCAGCGTGTGTCAGTGGAGAGGCTGGTGGTGAGGGTGGCGGAGTGCCGAAGGCTTGCGGGAAAACGCGGGTGGCAAGGTCATAATACACATGTGCTTGGGGAATTACCTCACGCTCCCCAATTCTGGCTCTTTGTGGCTTGTGGGGTTGTTTGTTTGTTTGTTTTGGGTTTTTTGGAGTGCTTGAACTTTCAGTGGTCCTCTTACGGAGCGCTGATGTTTTCCTCGTGTGATGGGAACGGAGTGGTACCTGTTCAAACCATGCTTTCGTACGTGAGTGGCTTGCGCTCCAAGTGCAGAGTAAGCAGGTCAGTGGTGTCTGTACTCGGGAGGAAAGTGGAGAAAATGCTGAGTGTGATTCTTATTACAGCCACAACTCTGCTTAACTTTCTTATTTACTGCTAAGAAATCTTGGAAAGGCAGCCAAAGGCACGCTGCTGTTTTATTTTTGTTTGTTTTTTGGGTTAGTAGCCATTGTATCTAGTTCTTGGTGTAAACCTTTGCACCTGATATTTTTTTAAGACATACTAATTAAATTATCTCTTAAGGAATTGTAATATAAAGCATTTATGGGGGCTGAAAAGCATTCAAAATCCACAAGTGCATTGAGAGGAACATGGATATTTGGGCAGAAGCATCCTCAGTGTGAGGTGGTCTGGACCTTGATGAAATATTTTTTCTTCTCTGTTTTATGTTATCTCAAATTGGAGAAGGAGAACCTTGCTCCTATTTGCCTAGCCCTAGCTTTCATATATTTTTTTATTTCTAATACTTGCTGAAAAACGCTCTCTTGGCTAGTCAAAATGATTGTGAATTTTTTTGCAAATGTGAGGTTCAGGGAAGGGGAAGAAAGGGAGAGGGGAGATGCTTCCACCTTGAAGCAGAACTAGGTGGGAAAAAAAAAATCCAAATTATAAACTTTCATTTTATTAAAAAAATCATTCTGTCCAAAACTATATTTTTTCCAAATTCAACCCAAGCACTAGACTGAAGGAAAAAAAAGATCAATTAGCCTGTCTTGGTGGCGTATGTGTATCCCTTTGGTATTCAATATGCACGGATTTTTGCTTATTTTATTTGTTCAAATAAACCTTAATTGAAATTCACGTACACCCAGAGGAGGGGCTGAGCTGGCCAGCCCTGTCTACGGCGGGAAGGGTGGCTGCCACCAAAAGACCACGTAGAAAACCAGTGGTCCCTCTTCAACCATTTGGTCTTAACTCCTCATCCCACAGGAGCGAAACGTGGTGTTCCCAGCGGGTTCCTCCGCAGGCCGCCTGTCTGCACGCTCCCTCCACCCCGAACGGACAGCTCTTGTAGCGTGGCTTGGAAACTTGCGTTCCAAGAAAAACTGGAGTCCTCCCCAGCTGCCTCGTGCTTATCGACAGGTCAGCTTTCCTACGGCATTTACGGGTATGTTTGCAGAGTAACGGGCTGCGAGGTTACAATAGCTGCTGGTGGTTTTTCTCTGGGCAATGAAATACTTTAATTTCTTCCATAAAAAAAAAAAAAAGGTATTTCTAGCACATGAAGAGTAGGAAGCTTGGTTCTTTGCCACTAGGAATCCTCCGATTTGTAGTAAAGCAACCCAGGACTGGGTTAATGGTTAGAGCTTGAGGCCAAAGGCATCTCATAGAATCATAGAATCATTAAGGTTGGAAAAGACCTTTAAGATCATCGAGTCCAACCGTTAACCCAGCACTGCCAAGCCCACCACTAAACCATGTCCTCGAGCACCACGTCTACCCGGCTTTTAAATCCCTCCAGGGACGGGGACTCAGCCCCTGCCCTGGGCAGCCTGGGCCAGGGCCTGACAGCCCTTTGGGGGAAGAAGTTTTTCCTAATATCCAACCCAAACCTCCCCTGGCGCAGCTTCGCAGCAGGCTGCGCTGCCTGTCCCCCCAGGGCGATGCTGTGCACACACGGGAGTAGAAGTACCCTCCAGTAGCTGGACTTCAAAAGATTAAAGCAGCTTTTTTTAGGAAAGAGGAGGAATATTGAATCTGAACGTTAACTACTGTAAAAAAGACGTTTGCCATCGTTGCTGCTAACTTCATAATCGCCTGTTGCACTGCGGTTATTCAGAGGCCCGAAAGCTGCGCAGCTAGCTAACGCGTCGTGGCAGACCGCAGCGGTTCCCGTACAGGCTATTTCTTTAAAAACCGCACAGCGCTGGGAACAGAAGATTTTTCCAATCGCCCATCAATGACTGCTACGCTTCTGAGGTTTACTCGCTTATATTAAACCAAGAACTGAAGAAGGAAGAAAAAATTCTTCTTTATTATTAAGAGCTCGGGGAGGAAGTGCCTTTGTATCTCAGCTGGTGCTGAACAAATAACTATTGTACTCGACACTACAAAAGCCAATTACAGCCACCATGGTGACAGCGACTGCGTGGGGAGAATTAACACTTCAGCTGTTTTCTCCTCTCTTTTTTTCTAATGAAGATCTCTGTTAATTTGTTTTTTCTTTGTAATTTTCTTCCTATAATTAAACTGTTCCTGTTGACTAGCATGAAAATGAATTGTGCTAACCTGAAACAAGGATTCCTGAGCCCTTGAAATTTTAAATCAATTGGCTGCAAATCACTTCAGCAAGAAAAAGAGCTATTGGTTGTGTTTATATTTAAGACAGATGGAAAACTTTATTAATGATTACATAGTAAAATAGCGCTTCACGACTAATTTGAAAAACTGCATTTAAATCATTCCATCTCTTCCATCGCATTGGTTCAGATGAACTGCAATTAAAATGTAGTGTAAATTTCTTATCTTTGGGAACGATTTAAAATGAAAATGACCCGTTACGGAAGCACTGGTTTTCACCTGGCATGCTGCTGCTCAAACAAGGAGATGAACCGGACTGGTTGTCCGGTTCTCGTCGCCCTGGGTGCTGCGGGAGCTGGCATGAGGGGTGCTCCTCGGGGAGGTCCCGCTGGAGGGACAGCGGCCCATTTCAGCAGAGGGTGATGGGCAGGGTGGGGTAGCCTGGCACGAGCGTGGCGATGCGTAAAGAAAGCCCGGCCAGGAGGGAGTTAAGGCAGGGAAGTTACCCGTTGTGATACTGCTGGATCGAAAAGCTGAAGGTTTTTCAGAGCTAAGATAGAAAAGTGTTATGTATAAAATTACGTTTTATTGAGATAGGTAGGTTAACACGTGGACAAAACTTACAAGAGCTTTTTTTTTTAATTATAAGAAACTTCTTTATGTACTAGAAAAGACAGTCAAGCGATAAGGACTTTCTTCTGTTTGTGTTCTTTTATAGGCACTTGGACAGTTATCCCGCGGTTCAGTGCTAAGATAGCGCCCTGGGAGCATGGCCGGAGCAGAACTCCCGATCCTGACATGGAATGCAGCTTATAATGGTAAGCGTGAGGTTTTAAATAGCCATCAACTTACAGATCTGCGTTGCGAGTCGATAGGGAGGCCCTGCCACTTAGCTGCTGTTGACCAAACTTACTGTTGCAGGCACGAGCCTAAATATGTTGGTGGGTGCCTGAAGCATCCTTTCGCAAGGCGTTTTTGATGGTAGTGAGGTGGTGTTCAAAAGTTTTCTGCAAGATAAAAATTAATTTGCTTGTAGTGTTCAGAGGCCATATTTAAAATAGCGTTATAAACACATTATCTGAGGAAAATGGAAAATTTCAGTTTTGTTCTTTGTGTTAATGCATCTGTCTAATGTTCAATAAAATGATAAATATCAGCACTGTCTGTTAACACTGCTTTGTTGTCTTTTTGTGTAATCTTGATGAAAATCTGTTACATTGCATGCAAGGGATATAAATATTATGTGTGTTTCTAAACGAAGGCAAGTTATGTAGACTGTCCGTGACGTATGCGAGTCAAAACGGTTGGTATTCATAGAAGGATGGGAGAAAACAGAACGTACCTGCGTATATGGAAGGAAATGGATACTTTAAACATCTCCACACTGCACGTTCCTATACATTTTTCAGTTCGAACTGTGTGTACTTGTTAGCTCATTCAGACCTTTTTTTTCTTTGCTTGCAGTGGGATGCTCGTCTTCGCTTCCATGTTGGATTTTAACTGTGGGAGTTTGATACGGCTCAGCAACTGCTGTCTTTCCTCAGCGTTTGAGCTAGAAACCCAGTAAAGCAATGAGGAGATTTGTTTACTGCAAGGTGGTTCTGGCCACTTCTCTCATGTGGGTGCTTGTGGACGTCTTTTTACTTCTGTACTTCAGTGAATGTAATAAATGTGATGACAAGAAAGAGAGGTCCCTGCTGCCTGCTCTGAGGGGTAAGTGCCCAGTCTGAGCTGTCTTTGAAGGTCATAGATTTTTTGGGAAGTATTTGGCCTCAGATGTTTCTCTGTACTTTCTAAATTATTTTTCCAATTCAAACAGACAAAATACCAAGATCTGAAGTACTTTGTTTCTGCAGTGCTTTAGTGGTTTCTGAATTAGTTTCAGTTATCTTAGTGTTTGACCTTTGCCATAACAAAGTGTTGAGTCTTACATGTTTTCTTCAGCAAAACTAATATAAAATGTCTGCGATACGTGGAAGAGAAAACCGAAGTAAACATATTAAGAACCTCTTTTATCAGAAGTCATTTGACCTACAAGGGAATTGATGCTCTATGATTCGCTTTTCATTTGTGAAAGATACTTACTTGTAAGCTTGCTTTTAAACTCTTAACTCTGGCCGAAACAATCGTTTTAAAAGATAGATTGTCTCTACCATATGAAAATATTAGGAGCAAGTCTCAAATGCAGATGGAGCAGATTCTCGTCTCACTCCAAATATTTTTAGCAATGTAATTTACTAAAGGGGAGTTCGTGAAAACTGAACCTTGACAGAAGCTGCAAGCTTTTGAGTTCGTTATTTCCAGAGCAGTCATTCATAGGACAGACCGTGTGCTTCTGTGCATCCAGAAGATCCAAGGAGGGATTTAGTACTGGCAATGAACTTGAAAGTAACCTGTAGAAACGGTAACGTTGACTCCGGCATGCAGCTGCGTCTGTAAATCTATGGGAAATTCGCAAGGAGAGGGAGCAGACATTTATGAAATACAGGTGTTTGTTTTTCCTTGTAAAATAACATCCTGTTCCTCAGGAGTTTAGGTTCCGCATAGGGAAGAAGGTAGATACTTTGTATCCCTAATAGGATTGAAACAAGCTTAATTAGAACGAGTGCAGCTGCTTTTATAACATGTACTGTTGACAGTAGACAAAAATTGTGTCTGCGGCTGTTCCTCTCATCGTAAATATATATGTATGTTGAACCTCTGATCCTCAGTTTTGTCCACAGGGTAAATAATTGTCATCCTTTTACAAGCACGTGGGGGTTACGGCTCCGTAGAGTGGATAACTTTGCAATAATTCGAAATAAAAATACTATTTGGTGATGGGTTTGTCACATGGCAGTCCTTACTCAAAATGTGTTTGGAAGACCTCACTTTGACCTTCCAATAATAGAAATAGCTACATGATATTAAAAAAAAAAAGTGTTATTTTTCCAAATGAAAAGGGTATAAGGGTATTGCTTGTCATAGGTGTTTTTTTTATTTTTCCCTGTGTAATTGAATTACTGTATTTTTAAACACATATTAGGTGCGAATATTGCGTATCGTGAAGAAAACAACCCATTTTACCTGTGCTGTCAGTGGCAGAAAAGTGATCATAGCTTGGTTTTGAAGTATGCATTTGAATTTTCTCAAAATTGATTACATTTTGCGAAATGTCCTTAATGGGTTGCATTTTTTGCTATGTAATTGGATAATCTGTAAAGAAAAATATTAAATATTACAATGATAGATTTTATTTGAACATTAACAACTTTTAAGTCAATCGAGGCTAAAAAAACCCCAAACATAACCACACGTCCCTGCCACCACCACTCCAATTCAAATGAAAATGTCTGGAACTTGCAGGTATGAATTCACCTTTTTTGACACTTTTTTTTTTTTTTTTGTCAGCACAATACTATGCAATACCGGACTTTTATTTTTAAGTATTCTGTTGCATTTGACTTCTTGAAATGACTTTTTTCTTTTACATTCAACTTACTGAATTCTGCGTGCTGTGCCTGTTCTGAAGCGAGGAGGTTTCTGCACAGAAATGCTAAAAGCAGCACTGCTTCTTCTTGCTCTCGGTTTTCAGAAACAAGTTATATTGAATATATAACACCATTTCTACTTTAAAGCCTGGTAAAAGAAATACTGAGTCTGTTACTCTACTATGCATATTCTATGTGATTCCAGAAGAATATTTGATTATAATGCTTTTTACAAAATTATGGAAGTGTATGTAATGTTTGGGGACACTAGCACAGTTTTATTGGAAATGGATTGCATGTCTCTCTTGTGAGATTACTGAAATTCTAGAAGGCACCTGCCACAAAGGAACGTAACGGGAAAAAGCAGAGTTAATCTACTTTATCCTTAAGTTTTTGATCGGTTGTTTAAAAGGGGGGTCGGGGGAGCCAATACTGTAAGTTTAAAAACATGTCCTTCGCTGATACCTCTGCTCTGCTTGGTGATATATGGAGCTAAATTACAACAATTCCAGTAAACGAGCGTCGCTGAACAGCCTCACTTAAAAGATTTTGGGTTTAGGAAAGCATTGTTTAGTAGATGAGGGCTGTTAATTCACTAAACAAAGACTGGTATAAATAATTGCAACAAGCCCACTTTTTGTCGTTGGCGGCTGTAATAGAGGGCTTGGTGATTTAGGGTGTAGTTGGTGGGGTTTTGTGTTGGCGTATCCACAGACTTGAAACGCTGCACAGACTGTTCCAAGTAAGTGTGTGTGCTCTGGAATGAAACTTAGGTTCCAGTCTACTAAATGCAAAGTTAATTTGCCTGACTTTTGTTTTTTTCCAATGTCCTAACTATTTCTTGTCATAGTAGATAGTCATATGTATTGCCGTGTCAATATGCACATTTGAAAAGTTAAAAAATCCAGAGTAATTTTTTGCTGTGTTACGGAGATTTAGCAAAATGACTTCATTTATTTCTGCTGAAACCATGTGTGTTCTGGTGGAGTAATTAGAAATGTTTTTTTAAACTTCTGTAGCTTCCAGTCCAGCAGACTACCAAAACCTCTTTACAGTGGGTGCCACAAGCTTTTACAATGGAAATGAAGTGTAGCGCTGCTTTTTTGCTGTAAAGTACCTGCATGGGTACCATCACCTTTGTCTTCTTAACAGTGTATTTGTCAATCTCTGAATACCTCTAATTAAGAATGCAGATTATCTGTAAACATAAAAAGCAACATAATTACAGTATTTCCGCAAGGATAGTAAAAAAGACGCTACAAGAATCAATATACTAACAGAAATTTAAATGGGGCATGGTAACCCAGTATTTGAAGTCACTTAATCCATCACCCTCGCCATTAATTAGCGAGGAAAGATTCTGCTTACGTGGAATGGTGTGTTTAGAGGTGAAAGAGGTAAACTCGCCATGCCTTTTCAGTTGTAACTATTGCATTCAAAATGGTTCACAATTCAACATCTGCTGGAAAGTTGTCTTTGTAAGCAGTGACAGTCCACCGACTGGAACAGAGCTGTCAGAAATCCCCCTCGGATGTCTCGCTGTACATCTTTAAGTGTACAAGTGACAAGTGTAAAAGCTGAGTGTTATAAAAATGAGCTGTCACTGCGCTGGGTTAGTGGTATTGCTTAACAACTTGCAAGCGTTATCCTAATCAACCCCGAGCTGGCTTTCAGTCAAGTCGTCCTTACATCTATTTTTGTGCCGCTATTGAAAGAAACAACACTTATTTTTTAAACTTATTTCCTACTTTGGAAGAAAATTAATACCAGACAGCCTCTCAGCGGTCTGTGTTTCCCAGTGGCGTACGCAGACCTACCAGTAGGTCAGCAGTTCTGCTTCCCCTTCGCGGAGGGTCCGCATCCCCAGGGCTGAGTTGTGCCACTACTGCTTTCTCCTGATGTTCCAGCGTAGGTGTTTGAACATACCTCGGGGTGCCCAACGCCGTGTTGTTTGGGCAATGTTGTCTGATAAATCTTGAGGAGGTGACAGAGGGGTAAGTTCCCAGGACATGCATCAAACAGACTATTGGGAAGCTCTTTTGAGAGCAATCAATAACGTAAAAACAGGGTTGCAATCCCTTCCCATTCCCAGAGGCTCCTTGTGTCTTGCAGCAAGCTGCACAAAACCAGAGAGATTTCCCTTGAAACTCAGGTTTTGCCTTGAATTTCAAGAGGTTTAGAGTAGGTCTGATCATGCCTAAACCGTTTCAGAAGAGCTATAAGAGAGGTATAGGTTTTATGGAGAGCATCACATTAAGTAGAAGCTGGGTCTGGCTTCTCCCCAAATGGAAATAAACTGCATATTGTGTAGTGGAGAAGGGGACAGGGCAGCACTTAGCAGTGCTCCTGATGGGAGAGAGCAGTCTGGGGAGAAGTCCTCCTCTCTTTTTCCTTCATGTCTGTGTAGCCCGTCCCGCAAAAGTGGGAGCCAAAGGTGACTTAGGGCTCTAAAGCACCCAGAGCCACGGTGCACCAGTCAGCAGTTTGCTTAGACAGGGCTTTGAAGGGAAGAAACAAGTTGCCAAGTCCAAAAAAAGCCAGACATCCATAACATTTACCCCGTAGGGTGTGCACACGAGGACTTCAGGAACGTGGCAGTGAGTAAACTGATGGGAGGCATAGCATAGCCATCGCTTGGTTTCTGAAGTTTATGTGTATTGACGATGTATTGCATTGCCTCTTGAAGGACCCTCTCTGCAACCTGAGCCGGTCGGGGATTCAGCATCACACCGGAGAAAACAGTGCTTGGTTTGTCAGATCTTCTGCCTCGTCTCGGGCTCTTCCGCTCCGTGTTGGTGCGGTATGCGTTTCTTGTTTGGCTTCCAGCTAAGCATTGTACAACTCGGTCATATTCAGTGCTAGTATTCATGACAGCTCTGTTTCAAATCTTCCTCAAGGCCAGGCCTGTTTCTTTCCGAGAAGCTGGTTCTCCAGGCCTGTGTGCGGAGGAACGTATCTAGTCTTGTTTAGGGCATGTGGGACTGGATGGGTGAAATAACAGATAAACGGACAGGGAAGGGACTGCAAGGGCAATCTTTCTCATGCTATGAACTGATCACCTTCAAGCTAATATTTGTAGCACATGGCTCTGCTGAAACGTACAACGCTCCCAGCTGGCAGGACAGGATGCTTTCAGGTCTGCTTGAGGAAACACTTTTATTTTTGTTAAAAGCAGAAGTCTTTTTTTTTAAGCACAAACCAGAGGTCGGTTTACTCAGCA